TAATCCTCTCCTCTATATAACTACTGGTTGTAAAACTCAGGAAAACTTGAGGAAGATTTAAAGATCAGAAGACAAAAGCCGACATCAAGCAGTCATCTGAAAAGAAGTTTTTTGATTATTCTGAAATTTTCGCAAGCTAAGCCAAGTGATTTCTTCAAAGAAGGAGTTCCTGAAAAAACAAGACATATATAATTTAGCTGGTATTATACAGCGCTTCATAGTTGTAGTGTTATGAAACAAAGCACGTTTTACAGGGGATAAAGTGAATCTCTAATAACACTATCTTCAAAGTTATTCAATTGAAATCGCCAAGTATGCATATATTCTCAACCTATGAATGCTGATTTTAAAACCGGCATAGGTTTTATAGTAATATAATTACATATTTATCTAAGATGCAGTAGTAAGTGTATCATTTCAGTTACAGTGGTAACTACCAACCAAGTTCAAACCATTACACAGCTGGGAATACAATTGTTTTAAAAATATAACAAGTTACTATAAATTCTATAATACCTTATTGAATTACAGAGCTTAAAGAAATACTGACCTTGTTAGTTACGTCACGGTCATAGCACTAAATGTCACAGGTAATTTATACTGTTACATCTTGAATATTCCGATGTCAAAATTAAGATACCTTCTCGGTTCTCTAACACGCACTTTTAAGTCCTAGATTTAACTATTACTTTACCTTAAACATTTTCTTCCATATAAATTATTTATTGACTGTGAGGTTATTGCTGTGTGTAATTAACTTTGAAACAGTGACAACACTATAATTGTCATAGAATACAAAAATGTAAACTACAATATTCAAATAGAATAAGTGAATGATCCCCATAAGATACACACACAGCTTATCCTGTTAATCAGAGGAGGGGCTGACAATTGGTAATGCATTCCCATAATTTTACATAAGGCACACTATCTAATGTGTCATTTCTAGACCCAAGTATGTGAGGAGTTATATCCCTAGTTGGTTCATACTCAGCTAGTTAATACATGGTATTAAGTGATGCAACATAACCGATAAACAAATTCTTATAAATTAAACACAGGAAACCGTAGATGACAAGATAATCATAATTAATAAATTTACTTCCGCTAATTTTACTTCGTAGAATTCAATGTGATACGTTCAATGAAAATAACAAAGACACAGAGTTAATATTAAAACTGGATGACAAAAATATCACCCACTAATTATTTATCTGATCAGGTCTATCTGCGCTAGCCGTCCCTAATTTATCAGTGTAAGACTAGAGGGAATGCAGCTAGTCATCACCAGCCACCGCCAACTCTTGGGCTACTTTTTACCAACGAATAGTGGGATTGAACGTGACATTATAACGCCCTCATGGCTGAAAGAGCGAGCATGTTTGGTGTGACGGGGATTTCTGATCAGAGTAAGCTACCTACGTATAACTTAAAATCAATCTGAAAATAAGTTTGTGATTTAAAAATACTGTCCTTACCTTCTAAAGATTGCGAACCCTAACCACCTGGCCATGCCGGGCGTTTTGTATTTGGTGTAAAAGATATTAATTGTAATTCACTCCAACCTTTTTTTGCTATGTTAGTTAGGATCCAAATTACAAATTATACAATATATTTCAATACAAGTTACTCATTAACTCTTTAAAACGTGTTATGATGTACTTTAAATGATTGTGGGTAATGAAAGTAAGTCGGACGTAGTAAGTTCATGTTCTCCTATGTAAAGCCGATGATAATGAAATATCAACACTTTTGGACACAATATGACATGTCATTTAGAGAAGATCATAAACATCAATTTGCTGCTCTTAATGTTCGCTGTAGGTTCGATGTATAAAGTTAGTTGTAAAACTGTACGAGAAAATCGAACGAACCAGAAGTGTTTCAATTAATACATCTTTAAGTATCGAACAAACCTAACTGACTTTTACGAAATGAACATAAAATTCACACAACTGACATACATACTGTATTTTTTCGGAATATAAGTACGCAC